AGACACCGTGAATCTGACGCAACCTCATTAGGAATCATGAACACCAATCATCTAATCGAATGCTACCGATACACACACAGAGGATAGGTGGCTTGATAGTTAGGAAGTTAAACAGATAGGTTAAAAACAACACAAATAACAGATTCACATGGCTACCCCTCGAACCGATTAAACCTAATGGCGACCTTCGAAAAAAGCATTGCGGTCAACGGGTCAATACAAGTTACCTGTGATTTTCCCTCCAAGAGGAGAGAATCTCGTTGGCCGGTGAGGGTAACTCTGTGGGCGGACTTGTCAAGAAACCCTAAAGTCGGTTGTGTGGGCTGAGCCGATTTAATGAGAAAGGTTTATGAATGGTTCGGGTCACTGCATCGGAAACTGAATAAATATGGGGATAGAATACAGTATATGTTTTGTACGTGAACAATGTTCCGTGTGAGTGTTGTTATATCTGACTGCTGTTCCCACTCCAGTGCCTACTGTCAGAAAAGGAACTCACCGACAAGGCAACACAACAGCTTTATTCCAAACAAGCAAGTGAGCTCGTGCGAGTTCAAAAGTTACAACAAGTACACTTTCTGACATTGATCCAGGCTGTGTGATAGGCGTTTGGTGAGCACCCATCAACATCACTTGTGCTTGTATGAAATGCCTGAACGCTGATCACTTTCGGTCGTGCTTCTGTAGCGTGTCTGAACACTCATCGGGTTTTGCTGAATTGATTGAGTGCTTGACGTGTCTGGATGCTTTCAGGCCTTCCTATTGAAATTCTGATGGAGTTTTATGGTCTCGGGAGCTTCCGGTCGTTCTGGGGTTACTTTCAGGAATCTTGACTTCCTGACAAATATCCAAGGTGGTACCCGGATTGCGAGAACTGGGGAGGGAGCTGTTAGGTACAGTGCAAAGCACAAATAAATGCCAACGAACTGCAGATTTACATGTGACCAGATGTGAAACTTTTGGGAGAATCTCAGAATTCTTGAGGGGTCTCCAAATGGGCCACGTTAAGGAGTATCATTTGGCAAATAAGGGTCAGAGATCAACGATAGTACAGGGATGTGTGCCGTTATTGATGCAGGTGGAAAACGGCTAGGAAAGGGTCGTGAAGCTTAAGTGTCTTTCGACTGATCAAAGTAGCGCTGTCCGGAAAAATCAGTGTGGATTAGAGGCATCTTCATAACCTACTTGAATAAGGGTTACTTGAGTGGCTTCTGTGCCTCCGTGGGGGAGATACTGTCAAGACGCCCGTGGATGGATGGGGCAGTTTGTTAACCCACTCGGTTTCCGGCAAATAAAACTGATATCTGTGAAGGTACGGCGTCTTTGAAGTTATAACTTGATAGTTAAAGGTGCCTATACCCAATGATTTTTTCTGCGAGATCCATTTAAGTGGGCGATTTTTCTAC